GCACGTAAAATATGTAATCCTTGTTCAAGTAAAAGTAGACCTTCATTTGGATCATATTTCTAAATTTAGGTAATAAAAAAGTGTTATTTTTCTTTTCTAATTATTATTATTATTATTATTATTATTTACAAGAACATTATCAAAAAATCTTGTTGGAGGTGAACCATCAAGAGTATAAAAAATATCGGCATTTCGATCTGGACAAAATAAATGAATTTGTGTACCAAATTGGCTTGCAGTATCAATATCTTCAACTATTCGAGGTTCTTGAAGTTGTTTCTCTATTCAAATAGAAATGAAAAAAAAAATTAACAAAATTTTTCAAATAAAATTTTTACTTTGATTTCGAATAATATTCTCCGCATAAACAACTACAGTTGCTGTACGCTGAAAACGATTAGATCGAATAATATATTCTCCAGGTTCTTTAAATGTATGTAAATGATGAACACCAGGTATACATGCGGAAATATTTTTATCAACAAAATTGTTCTAAAATTAAAATCAATTAGAAATCTTTTGAAAAGAATTTGATAAAATATTACATCATCAATTTCTTCGTTATCATGATTTGATTGTACATAAATTTGATGATTTAGTTCATTACTATTTAATGTCCATGAAACAGTATCGTTCTATGTTTATTTGTTATTTTTGTTTTACCAATTCAATATTTTAAAGACAAGATTTACCTGTGCAATATATAAATTATTCGGAACAAATTGATGGCTAGTAGTAATAAAACAATTTTGGCAAAATGGTGGATCAATAATGACTGTTGATAGGAAACGACTCTTGAAAATAAAAAAGAAAGAGAACAAAAAGTAAAAAAAAATTCTTTTTTATAAATTTTACCTCATCTGAACCATTAACTCGTTCAAATTCTAAAATAATAATAATAATGATAACTATTTAAAGTAGTATTTTTATTTTACCTGGATTAGCAAAATAAAATATTCCCTGACCAATACATTCAACAGCAAGACATTGTCGATTACGTCCAGCAACAGCTCGTTCATGACAAGATACTAATTCTTGATATGTTATATCAGGATTTAATTGTATAATATTATGACAAATAACTTGTTCGAATTGCCAAACAACAAAATCATTGAAATTTGTTATTATTGGTTCAAAATTAAAATTATTTTTACTTATTGATTTATAATGAAAACGTATTTCTGGTATAACAATTACAGTTAATGGTAGAGCTGAATTTTGTTCCTTTTTATTTTTATCATTATTATTTATATCCGTTGAAAAATAATAAACGCCTAATTGTTGAAATTCTTTAAAATAATAATTAATACTATCTATTTGAGGTTGAAATATTGGTTTTTCTGATTCTAATCGATTACCAAATTCATCTGTTTGATAAATATTAGCAACAGTTGTTGACGATGAATCAAACCATACTCGATCAAAATGATTTATTATTAAAGGATTATGGTCGAATACATTTTGTTCATTATAAATAACACGATGATTCTATTTGAGAGAACAGAAAATATTAATCTATTGGAAATAAAAAGTAAATAATTAGAAGTTTTTCTTACGTCAACATTATTTTCAACAATAATACTTATAAGAGCATTATCTTTTTTGTCCGAATAAGCAAAATTATAGAGACCATGCTGAGGAATATTTAAAAGATATGCTTCACATGTATAAAAATGATGACGAAACACTGTTTCGACTTTAGTACATTTATGTATAGCTAAAAAAAAAGAAATTTAATACAAAACAAATTCGTAATTTCTCCACAAAGTATTTAATAAATTTTTGTATTCAGGTCGAAATTTGATTGAAAAATTTTGACAAAATTTAAACGATAAAAAAGCACTGTCCATTCTTCTAGATACTTCAAAAAACTCTTATACTTTTTGAATACACCAGTATAACATATTTGTCTTTTATAAGAAAAAAATTATAATGTTCTGAAATAGGGAAATGTGTTCAAAAGAATATTCCTCATTGTTCCTATCAGAGGTCTCAATAGGCTAGGTCAAGCCCGGCTTAGCCCATGGATCGAGATTTTTTTGAATAGAAAATCATGGACTGAATCTAGCTGATTCAATCTTACGATAGACGCTCACGAGTCAAATCTTGAATAAAATATAAAATTTTCAAAAGATGATGCCTATTTCCACTAAATTTTTTTTTTGAAAAATTTCATGTACTTCTTGAATTGGTTAAATCATCATATCTGCAATGTGACCAGCAAATATATAAAGCAAAACAAAAAAAAAGATAAAAATTATCATTATCTTAAAAAACTTTCTTTATATTCAATAAAATATCCTTGTGTAGCACTCCTCATTCATCATCAAATTATTTTTTTCTAATTCTAATTCTATTCCTATTGAATCTTCTCAATCATCAATTCTTGTTAACACTTTTTCTTCAACTACAAGTGTTAGTTCATTATCATCTACAAAACAGTAAATACTCGAACGGATCGAATTTCTTTTGAAACAACAACCATCGACATATGCTGTTATTAAAAATGAAAAAATAAACACATCTTTATGTTGAAATGTTTTTGATTTTCTAACTAAAAACTCAGAAAATACTGATGAATTTGAGAGAATTGAAGATTTTGCAACTTGTCAAATGTGTTACCAAACAGTTGTTTATACATCAACTATTGATACTCAAAATATCCTTGCTCATTTATATGTTAAAAATTTATCCAATGCAATTAGATGAGTGACTCATGGATAGGCCAGTTTTTAAGAAAAAAACCATAGACTGCGCCGAATCAAATGTCGAAAACTCACGGAGTAATTTTATTCCATCCTGTTGACCAAAACAATTCTCCATCGGGTAATCTATATTCATGACTACAGAAGATATTTGTTAAATTCATTAAGTACATCTTCAAAATCAACATCTGTTTTATGCTTTATTTCATTTAATTATTTTATTGTTTTGGTCATTCAAATATTTTTCTTCAATATTCATTGATATTTATTCATTTGATATGCTTAAACTGATACATCCACTATATGTCGTATCTTGAGCATGTATTAGACGAGAATACTTATAAGATATGTTTACAAGACAAATAAAATAAATTACCATGACTGATTTTTTTTTTTGATTGATGTTTATTTTCATTCGGTAGACTATTCTATTTATTACTTATTAGTATTTTTACAGATGAACCTTGGCGCTATGCAAGCACAACTAATTCCTTGAAATTGACTGAAAGCTATGAATCCGGATAGAATTCTATTTTTTGAAGAGTTATTTTTAGAAACATACGATTCAAGTATTCAATAATCACAATAGAATTCCTTGAAGATTTTTTTTCTATGCTTGGCCGCAAACATTTCCTGTAGAAATGATTGGACGAATTTTAATTGCTAAGTATTATATATCAAAAATATATAAATCTACTTTAATATAAAAATTTATAATCGATTCGATCAAAATAAAAGATATGCTTCAACAAGGTTTCTATGACGATCATTTAATCAGTGACGTCAATAAGCTTTTTCTTCTCTATTCTTCGTTTTTTTTTGTACATGTCTAGTAGTAAAATGATCTTGATCTTCTCTTTTCTGTTAGCTTTAAAATTTCACATAAAAAGCAAAGCGATTGCAACAAGCACTTGTATATATATATATATATAAACACTAATAACAGCTTCTAAATCAATTTTAAAAAAATCTTCTTCTTTCTACTTACCACAATCAAATATTCCAGTAGGACCACCAGCAGCATCTGGTACTACAGATGAATATGGCTCAATAGTAATTAATATTGGTTCTTCTTGTGAATCGTTCATTTTCCAATCAAACTGAACTAAATCATTTGTATTCATTTTATAAGCTGTAAATAAAAAAAAATAATATTCTATTTTTGAAAATATTTATTTTCTTTTGACTTACTTAATCGATCACTAAACAGTGGTATACGATGAATATTTTTACGTGGTTCAACAATAATCGTACCAATTTGATTATCTCCAGTTTTAAAACAATATATTCCTGCTTCAATAAACTGATGATACATACAACCACTACGTGATGGTTCATTGGGCCAGAAAAAATTTTCACCTTCTGTTTTAAGCTAAATTAAAAATAAAAAAAAATAAAAATCTTTTCAAACTTATTCTTTTTTCTTCGAAATACAAACTTCAATTGACTGTTGTCTATTTTCACTAACAGTAAATGGTTCAATTTGTACAACAGTTTGTTTATGTTTTCCGTTCCATGCAAATCTAATCCAATCATTTTGTGTCAACCAAATAATATTTGGTTGAATTTTATTATCCGTTATTTCGATATGTTTTATCTTATATGTTTCATTGACAACACAAACAGTTATATCATGAATCTGATTTGTATCAGTTAAACGAAATAAAAATGACATACCAAAATCATTACATGTTTTAGAAAATTTTCCTTTGGATAAAACTCGATGAGATACATTATCAGAGGGTTGAGTAACTGTATAAAGACCACCAGATGCAGGACAATATTTTTTTTCTTCAATACGATAACCAGAACCAACTGTTGCTGTCCACTCCATATCAATAATATCACCTTTATGTAAATAAACTTTTTGATTTTCTTGTTCATCAGTTAAAGTAAATTTTATTTCAATTCTTTTAACTATAAGACGATTTTTTTCACAATTAGATTTTGGACATTTACGTGTTTGCGATAATGTTTCACGTTGTGATGATGGAATAATACAAAAATATAATTCAATTTGAGGTTGATTAAGAGCAAAAGAAAGTAATAGACGTCTATTATTTTCTGGTGTACGACTTTGTATATTAAGTAATTCATAACCATTAATTACTCGATAATAATCATTACCATCTTTATATACTTCAAAGATATCATATTCTTCATTTCCTTTAATTGTAAATTCAACAATATTATCGCTTTCAATAGGTTCCGGCATTTTGACCGGAAACAAACCATTTTCTAGAGTTATGGTATGAAGCACCTTTGCTGCTTCATCATCTTGAATATTATCATTCGGCATATAACCTTGTAACGAAGCCATGAGAGTTGGAGCTAAACAATGAAGAAATGTATAACTTATGTTTTATGAAAAGACTTAATTAAATTTTCAATCAAAAACAAAAACGAAGAAATGTTGAAGAAAAGAGAAAAAGATGAATTATAAACACATCAAACCTTCAGCAGTCTGTGTTTGAATCTTTGATTGTTGACCAGCAGCAGTTGAAGGTTTTTTAGGGTTAGTAGATCCTTTGACAACAGATGCACCACAACCCATAGTATTAGTATAGAAACAAGAAGGCAAACAGAGATGGATATAGAGAAGTTTTATCGCTCACAACTCGACACTCTAAAAGACGATCAAACATAATCGTATACAATGTGGAGATCAAACATATGTGATTACATGTAGAAAAATACATTAATAATTAATAACATAGATATTTATAAGTATATGAAATCCAAAAAAGAATTTCTAACCCTTTGCTTATATTCAATTTGTCAGATATGAAATAAGACTAAATGAAACAAAATTTTTTTTCTATTCCTTTAGGTTTCATGTTAGATTGTTATTTCATTGTTCTTCTTTTTGCATCCTAAGTTGCTAAGCAATAATCTAATACATTTTTCAATGAGTCGTTTGTAACAGTTATCATAATCTGTATTCATTTCTACTTTCTTTTTATTTGTAAAATTTACTATTATTTGGTTTTGATAATACTGTTTATTTTATATATAGATGTCAGTATTTATCAATTGTCTTGACAACATGTTGCGGGTTGATTTTTTCTTTTCTCTTTTTTTTAAAATATGATTAGTATTCTATATGTAATTTGCAATAACATTTTGTCATGAATACTTATAATATAAATGAACTTTCTTCAACATCTGAATCTGATTGTGGATATTTAGTTGATTCAAGATATTGTCGTACAACAGTTAGATGTAAACGAAAAGCATTAAAAAAAACAATTAAATTAATTCATGGTCGTTGTGTAGTTATTTATCGAGGTAGTGGAGATCTTTTACCTATTGCAGCAAAAGATGCTGATCGAAATTGTTATTGTGGTAAATGAAAATTTTCTTTCATTTAATAGAAAATATCATCAGTAAATAGATTTTGTATTTGTTTGCCATGATCCAAAACCAATGAATCTAGCAAAAGAAATATCAACAATGTCGCGATCTCGATCAGCTATACATGATTCATCAACATCTGATGATGATGAAGACAATGTGAGTGTGATTGATAGTATAAAAACAAACTGAAATAATTGCTTTATTCAAAAGGATGCTGAAAATAATAATAATAATAATAATATTTTTCAAAAACGTTTCATACCATCCAGTAGGAATCAACGATTATCAAAACAAAATTCGTTTTTATTTCCAACTAAGATAAATGATAGTAATAACAATGAAAATACTGATTCTTTTATTACAATTGGAAGAGAAACAGTGATCAAGAACAGTTGTGTAACAAAACATATTGATACTAATGAAAATGAAAGATCGAATGAACAATTAGTAGTGGAAGAAATTGATGTTGATGTCGATGAATTAATTGATGGTGATGAACCATCAGCTTCGATTGTTTATTTTCCTTCATCACACACGAAACCTATGTCGAATATTGTTATTGACAAAAGTCGATAAGAAAGAAATTTTTTTGTTTTAATATATTACGTTACTTGACAAACAAGATTCAATTTATAAACTTTGCAATAGTTATTTTTAGCGTCAATTCAACAGTCTTAGAGGCTCTTAAAATGATTCATGAGGTTTCAATATAAATATATCGAATACATTTTTATGATTTTCAAGTTGTGAGTATGCTAGATGGGACACAAGTTGAACTCTTTGTATGAAATGCGATGCGAAGTTTCTTTGAATTTCAATTAGTGAGACATCAATTGTTTTTAGAAATGTAGCTACGAGGAAGACACAATTAAATCATTAAATACGAAACCTTTACGAAAGCTTAAGAATGTTTTTTTTAAATATAGACGGAATTCAAGATGCTTAAAACCTTTTCGACTAAGACTATCATAATTAAATAAGACATAAGTAGAAATAGAATACTCTTCAGTTAGTTCGGACATCAGTTGATTCTAGCGAACATTATGCTTTTTTTCATCTTATTCATTTGGTATATGGAGCATGCGTTTTGAGATGCTATGTCGTTGTAAAGCTAAAAAGGCAACAATGCGTTGTATATCAAGTATGCAATAGTCACGACGGCAATGAATACTTAACATTGGTTGATGAGGAAGTCTTTTCCACTAATAAACTGTTGTTTTAATGAAACTTATGAGGTTATATGTTACCGGCCATGCTGATATCGAATATGACTATAAAAAATTCTGTAAATTTGCATAGACTGATTTTTCAGAAATCCAGTTATTCAGACTGACAAACTTTTTGTTAATAGTTTATTTTGATTTTTCGAGATTACAGAGCATATCGAACTGTCTTTAAAATAATAACTTTTTCTGTTCTAAATCAATTTTTTTTTGTGGAAAAAATACAATTATTATAATTCATATAACAGGTGCATATCAATATGTCAGTATGAGAAGATACAAGTTTGTACTTATTAATTTATATCTCATTTTGGAAAATAGAAAATATTATTTTATTATAGGCAATTCCATATGCTCTATAATCTGGTTAAATCAAAGAAAATTTTCAGCAAAAATTTTGTTAGTCTAAAAAATTGACTTTTATAGAAAGCCAGCCTATGTAGACTTAAGAGGATTTATCATGCCCATCTTTGGAATTAGCATGGTTGAAAGTTGTTAATCTGGTAGATTCCTTTAAAAAACAAGTGATTTATCAATTGAAATGATCCATTAGTAAGTTCAATTTAGAAAAGGATTCGTCTATTTATATTTTTCATACGCCGCAAAACTGTTGTATTGATCATAACCATCGATATCACGTTTACTAAATCATAATTCTTCTATGATATAAGTCAATTCTCTCATATCAAATACGCTAGTGATGCAAATGAATCTTTTAAAAATATGGACCCATTTCTAGATGTCCAACAATTCCACTATTTCATGAAACCACCATAACTAAAGCCTAGCCTCACAGCTCGATTGCTATATCAAAAGATTGACAGTTACAATCAACTTGTGAATTATTAAAATATTGATGAAATGGAATCTTTTGATTTCATATATACACAATTGTACATATATAATTTGCTTATTATTGATTGAAATATGAGTGGTTCTAGAAAGAAGAAAATCAATCGATCTTTCAATTAAACTGAGTTAACATTTAATATTATTGAATATTTTTTTCTTTCATTCAGTTAAACGTTTCATGTATTTTACATATCAGAATAGATGGAGAATCAAATGCTCAACTTAGAATTTCTTTTACATATCTATTGATATTGAACATTACTAAAGTCAATTGAAGTTTGTCGTTCTTTTCTGTAAACATCAAGTTTAATGGAACTCAATTCATGTAATAAGAGTATCATCTTCATATTTACAGTACGTGATATGATTTTAGTGATATCTCACAGGTAGATTATTATGCAATTATTTATTCGAATTATTTTTTCATTAATATCTTTTTCTTCGGCTCTTTCGTATCTCAGTCATCATTTTCTTTATAGTAATTTTTAGTTTAAATTCTAAACATGAAGACCTTTGGTTAAGAAATTCAATAGGATATTATTTAGACTTGATATTTCTCTCTCTCTATATATATTTTGCAATTTTATTACAAAAATTTGTTTATCATTTGAAAATGATTTCCAACAATCTACTGCGTCTATCTCATCAAAATAAGAAAGTAAAAGAAATATTTATCAAATGTTATGTTTATGATTTGCTTCTATTTCTAGAATATTTCATCAAATCTATATATAAACTAACAAAACCATAATCAGCAAATGAACTAACTCGACATATCATATGAGGTAATTATCACACAAGAATAACAACAAAATATTGTCCAGCTACATACTATCAAATCGTGCTCCATTGAGACAAATTGTACAAGATACTTTCAAATATTTAATTCAACGACTACTTATTAATGCCCATTGCAAAAAAAAGGCGGGTGACTATTTTTTGAATTATTTTTGATAGAAACAAGATAGAGCGCCGCAGTTTTCACTGTTAGAAAGAGGAGATGAAATCGCATCGAATCATATATTATAGATTTTTCTAAGATGGTTACTGACGTTTTTTTAATCAATTTTCTAGAAAACATGTAGGAAAAATAGTTTCTTGTAACATAAGAAAAAAAGCAAAAAACTGATTTTTTTTTCACGACAACTGCTTGAAAAATTGGCGGAAAGCTTTGATAAGAATACCTGTGACTTCTGAACAATTAAATCTATAAATTTGAGCTTTGCGTAGTTTTCTAAATCTTCCATCAACGATTCTGATGTGCACCTGATAATTGAAAATTCACTGAAGTCACCTCATAAGGCATGCTGCTTTTCAAAAAGTTCAATTGAAAATCTTAAAAAACCTAGGTCGAAAAAACCTGTGATATGCAGTTCGATGCATCTCCATGTCCTCTTTCTAAAAGTGAAAACTGCAGCTCTGTATCTTGTTTCCATCAAAAATTATTAAAAACTTTCCCACCTGTCTTTTTTTTTAATTGGACATTACATTAAGTAGACTTGTTTTGTCTAAAATATATTTATTTTTATTTAATGATTCATACTAATCATTAATATCAGTGCCTGAACTGCCCCTAATAACAATAATTGGTCCTGGCTAGCATAACTACTTACACCAAAAAGTACTTACTTAGTAAATGGTATGTGTTCGGTTTGTCTAAACGAGGTAACAATATGTGAAATAACTTCAGCAGTTGCATTTCATCATCCTAGGACATTTTTAATAGATGGTCAACCGTCAAATGACTATTTGCTGCTGATTATATATCAACTTTCATTGACTGAAAATTAGAAGCGACTTGATCAACAACAATAAAAGAACAATGTCTACCGCTAAGAATAAAGGTTTTTTTTTTAAACAAATGAAAAAATTTCTATAGACACATACTCTGAATTTTTATAATTCATAATGTTCAATCTAATAAAAAATAATAATTAGTGAAAATAATACTGGTGTCTATCGATAAAGTAGAGCGTTCATTTTCTTCATGTTTCACTTATTTGTAGTCATAACTAAAGAGTAGACTATTTCTTTTTCTCATTCATGAACGTGCAAGACAAATAAATATTATGTAGAGAATCAATAAAACTAGTGACAAAACGAACGTTGACTATACTTCGATTTTATTTAGAGAAATATTAAACATAATTGAAATACCAGAAGTTCAACATCATTGTTTTATATGTTAATCGTTTGTGTAAATAAAATCAAAGTAATTTTATCTTCAATCTCTTTAAACTACTGGAACTAAGACTGAGAAAGTTAAAAGTTTTAGTATACACGTCTATCGTATGAACAAATTCAATGTATGACAATTCGAAAAATCTTTGTTTATTTGCTTTACAATAATCGGTTATTTTCAATTGTGCAATCAAAAGTACAATTGGCTTGAACTAACATTCTTTTGTTTATGTGAACCATCAGTATAAGCATTCAACATCATATCAATAAAAAAGTCAAATATTTATACATGTATATTGTTGGAAACGAAGAAAAAAAATATCCACAATCTCTCAAATTGAATCGAATACTTGGAAAAAGAAATAGTGACACATGAAAGTTGTCAAAGAAAAAAAAACAAAAACAAAAAAAGACTCACACGAACAAAACAAAAAAACACATCCAATTAGATACAATACATTTCATCCACATACACAATCACCGAAGTCCATTGAAGACAAATAAAAAGAAAAGATATTCAGTTATGGTTTTCTTGAATCATCATGAACATCAACATCAGAACTATTTGTCTCATCATTATTAACAATTAATGATGGATGAAAGGTGATCGTGTCTTCATTTTGTTGTTGTTGACAATCACAACAATCATTTGATAAAATACATAATTCATTTTTATCATGACTTGTTGAATTTTTTGTTGATGAAGTTGATTCTGTACCATCAGTAAAGTTATTATTATTATTGTTATTGTTATTGTTATTATTATTATTATTATTATTATTATTATTATTATTATTTGTTGAACTTGAAGTAAGTAATTCACGTTCTTTTGTATTTCGCCATTTCATACGACGATTTTGAAACCTAAAACCAAAACTTTTTTATTTTTCTCCATCATCATTGCAATTATATATTACTAACCATATTTTAACCTTGATAATCACGATAAAAAGAATAAAGAAAAATATAATTATCAAATATATATATATATATATATATATATATTTTTTCTTTTCAAATTATATAATTACCTGCGAATCTTTTAATCCAAGTCGTTGAGCTAATTTTTTTCTTTCTGGTTTACTAATATATTTTTGTTTAAGAAAAGCAACTTCAAGACCTTTACGTTGTTGATCAGAAAAAACTGCACGTCGTAACATTCCACGACGTGGTTTACTACGAAGACCTAACGGCCAAAATATACTTGAAGGTGGTGGTGGCATATAAAGTCCATTTGGTGGTACTGTACCACTTAATAATGAAGGTGTTGACGAATTTATTGATGGTGAACCATTACTACCAAAATAACTACCTGGTTGA